TTTTTAGTTTTAATTTTTAAAATTTAACCTTTACTACGTTTAGTTACGTAGGCGAGAGACGACCGAGTCGTTCGTACGTATAGTGTAGTTAGGTTGGTCGTCTCTCTCTCTCTCTCTCTCTCTCTCTCTCTCTCTCTCTCTCTCTATACCATTGGTCCTATGATTTATAAACAGCATTTCTAGTTGAGATTCAGAGAAAACCCTCTAACTAGTGAAACCAATAAAAGAATTTCGCGTTTTTTATAGATGACCAAATAATTCAACATTATCAGTCTAATGACATCAAAGAAGTAATCATTGAATCCTAGCTAACAAAATGCAAATAACAAAAATTCAAAATTTTCATCATGACTGATTGGATTAAAGAGACCCAATGATGCAAATTCATGAAAAATACAGAAGCTCCAAATTAGAGATCAATATCAAAGTCTATACCCCGCATTCTTAAATTTCCACGCAAAAAAAAATCATCACTTTTGCGGGGATCTTAAAATAAGCGCAAAACAATCTCTAGAATTGAAGGGAGAAAAAAAAAAAAGCAGAATTACTTTAGTGGGTTTTCACTTTTGCCCTAGTTCTACAAGAAATCCAATAATCCTAACAAGATAATGAAACTCTGAGATTTCGTCCTTTTTTTTTTGTGCTTTTGGATGAGAACTAAAATTCTACTATGGACATGACATAATATACATTGGAGATGAATAAAAGGGTACCTGTAAGTGACATCTGCTTGGGACATGCTTAGAGATCAGGACTCTGGGTCTTTTGGAGGATCATCCATTAGAGAATTTGGAGAGAGAAAGTGACGTTTCAGAGCGCTTGAGAGGAAGAAATCTCAGAGTTGGTATTTGTGAGAGAGAGAGAGTTGTAAAAAAGAGAGAGATTGGTTGCGCTGAAAATGAGAGTGAAGGGCAGTGATTTTTTTAGAGAGAGAGAGCAAGAAAAATGAAGGAAATGTGGAGAGAGTGTTTTGCCCAGATAAGGAGAGAGGGGCTAGAGAGAGAAAGGAGGACTTCGGATTGCAGTCAACGGACCTGTTTAGTTTGAATAATCTTATTAAACTCTGGGCTTAATTACTGATATACCCCTTGACCAATTTAAATGAGACGTACTTTTGTTACAGTTTGGTTTATAAAAGGCCAAAGCTTTAAATAGAGCGCACTTTCAAATAGTATTGAAATATGTTGTTTTAGTATAATAAATATTTAGGATGGTATGAAAATTTATTTTTATCTCTAATTATAAAAACTTAAAGTTTAAAATAGTATAGATCGTACAGATTTATAAACATTTAAAAATCTTAAAAATTGATGGTGTAGATAATACATTATAAAATGCACTATTTTCAAGACTTAAAATCTATTTTGTTTCATGTCCATACATGTTGAGAGATGATGAATTGAGGGTTTTTCAACCCGCAATAACCTTTCTCGTTAATTTTTTAGGGGTGCCTTAATTTGATTATTTAGGGCTTCGCCTTTATATAAACTTTTGCCTTTTATTATAAGGCCTAAGTTTCATCAAAATAAAATAAGGCATGGGAAAGCACTTTGGATATCAAAAATCTCTATGATGGCTTTAAAATTAATTTCCAATACAGTATGAAGCTAAAAAATTGGTACACATCTTGCGGATATGTGAACACCTATTTTTATGGTAAAATAGATAGTCTAGATAATGTGTTATAATATTCACTATTTTTCGGGCTTGATATTCTAACATTTTTTACAACCATAATGGTTGAGGCGAAGATGATCGATTTGAATATTTTCTAATGCCATAACTATAACTTTAAGTGAGTTTTACGATGAGGCCTTACTTATTTTGATAGGGTTGGAGTACTATAAAAAATTTTCCCTTATTGATAATACCCCTAAGTAACTTCCTAGATATATATCATAAGTTTATATAATGTTGCAACTCCATGTTATTGAAATAATGTTCACCTCGAAAATCCTATAGAAGAGAGTATTTCGATGTTGGATAACCTTTCAATTGATAATCTCGATCAAGTGATGTATGAATACAACAAAAAACTATAATTTCAAGTCCTAAAATAAATACAAAGTCAACGATACAATCTATTTTCAAGTATTTTTAAATATGTTTGATCATAAGTGTTTTAAAATTTTATATTTTGTAAGTATGAAAGAAATAGATTTTAGAGTCAGGGTGCAAAAATCAATATCATTTAATTTTTTTTATAATGTAGATTTGACATTATATTAAAAGACATTCTTTTTTAGTGTTATCTTGAAAAATATGTCTTTGTCTAGGATGAATGGTGGGGAATATCGTAACTAGTGTTGTCAATATCGGCTCGGCCACCGGATCAATTAAGGCTTTAGTCTGCAACCACTCAAACTGGTTGGACTAAATTTTAGAAAAATAAAAAAATAGATACAATAGTTTAAAATCGACTGGTTTGAGCAACCAAAACATTGGTTTTGACTGATTCACGATTAAACTAGATTTTTACTTTGGACTATACCAATCAACACACTGTTATGATTATTTATTTTAGTTTAATAAAGACCAAAGTAAAAAACTAAATTTTTACTTTAGACCAGATCAACCAACACACTGGTATGATCATTTACTTTAGACTAGACCAAACTAGATTCTCGATTGGTTGAACCACCAGTTTGGTCTAATATTGATAACTATGTTCACAACCTTACTCATATAGAAATGTATACAATTAGATCATTTAAATTAGATACAAGAAAGTCACAATCAGATGGTTGATAATACGTTATTGTTTAGGCACAAAGTTCAAAACAAATATTTGTGAATATTGTGATACACTTTTCTCTATTGGATTTTACGTTAAAAAAAACTAAAAATAATTAGGACCCATTGCACAAAAAAATAGATAGTTTGATTGTATCGAATCCTATTTGTATTTGCCACCTCACATAAACCTCAATAGAAACATGGGAAACAACGCGCAAGTAATATACATTGTTGCAGCTAGGCGATATGGATCTCCACCGTTTATTCTCTCAGTTAAGGCAGGGACTAGCCAGTCATATTAGATTCTATGTACTCGTACAGAGAAACTGTACATCTTTATCTTCCGTGATTGTGATATGTTTTATGGAGCACACTGTACACTTAGTCTCTTGGGTAAAATACACGCTTAAGAGGATTTTTATGATTTCGAAGTTTTATGGATTTTTTGAGATGTGAATGTCGAGATGGATGAGTAGCAAGCGAGAAAGAGATATAATTTTAAATGAAAGGTGCAGTTTGTATATAGCTAAGGCTCTAAACAATAAAAGTAAAGCACACCTTCAAATAGTATCGAAAAATGTGGTTTCAATACTGAAAATTGTTGTGATAGCCTTATTATATATTTTAATATTTAATTATACAGTTTAAAGCTTAAAAAAGAGTGTAGATCAAGCAGACTTATGAAAACTTGAAAATTAATTATCCAAAAATATGTTTCAAAGTGCATTATTTTCAAAACTTGAAATCCATTTTTTTCTCGTGTCCATGCATCTTGATGTAGAGATGATCAATTTGAGGATATTTGAGCATCAAAACAACCTCTTCTAGTGAAATATTTGTGGTGGGCTCTAATTTGATTGTTTGGAGCCTCAACTTTATATAAACCTTTTCCCTAAATGGATACATTATACCTTTATTTTGATGCAAGGTAGTCACGTTAATCTCGACCATTGAATGTAAAAATAGATGGCTACAATTATTCCATTACCAAGCTTAAACTTCAAAAGAAATGTTTTCGAACTCTGAGACGCATCCAAGCTATCAATTTTCACATCAAATGATTGTAAGGAATTTGTTATCCCATTGTATTAAAAGTAAATGGTCGATTTGTATAATCCTTTTAAGTTATATTATTAAATTTGAGAAATTTACGCCATTTTTAAAACATCAAAATTTCATTGCCGGGATTTCGAAGCCCCTCAAAGTGCCGCCAGTTCGATATGCGGCTTTACTTTATTTTGATAAAGCCTATGCCTTACGAAACACGCCAGTATTAAAAAATAAAGAGCTCGTAAGGGAGCATCATATATCTCTTTGTGTCTACATTCGTGGTGAAGTTGTTGCAGAGAAGATGGAGAAGAAAAAGGAAATATCCCTTTTCTACTGCATGGAGGCCGAAGAACTTGCACGTAATGTTGCGGCCGCACATCCAGACTGCATTCACCTTCAGTCCATCAATTGGAGGTTGGTTTTTTTTTGTTTGATGAAATTGCCTGTGATTCTAGGTTGGTTCTAACTGGAGGTTGGTTCGGTCTTTCTCTCTGTCTTTTTTTTTTGACAAAAAACTGGAGGGTCGCTCTCTTTCTTGCTATTTTTTTATGAAGTTGCGTAATTGGGGGTTGGGTTCTCTCTATCTTCCATTGCTTCTCCTTGTTTATCTCTTTGACTGCCATCCTTTTTCGGTGTTATATATGGCTATATCATATTGGATTCCTCAAACTAGTAGTGTATTATCACTTTGATTTTTATCATTTATGAGTGTATGATCATTTATTCCATAAGAAGGAATTGGTTGTGTATCTTGATCATTTATTTCAATTGGATTTAGATAGGTTGATGCTCTTTGAGTTTGTCAGGAATCAAGCGAGTTTATTGCCCAAAATATATCATTTTTTTCCCATTTGAAATTTGATCTCCCTTCTATGCTTCCCTTGATTTCTTGTTGTTTTTGAGTTTCTCATTGTATTACCAGTTTTTTAGTTCCATATGTTGATCGTCATTGACATAGGCGAGGATTTAAGTGAGCTTCATACACTCGCAATTTTGCTCAAGCTTGTGGGTGATCTTAAGTTTTGATGCTAATACTTTTCTGGTTTGGTTTATCTATTTCGGAAAATTAGATTGTTGCGACATTTGTGTGTGTTCTTCTTGTTTTTCCTTTATAGGTTGCCAGATTATCTCTTTCTGCCCCTACATTGCAGGTTTCCAACATTTCACAATTTAGAATATCACAAGGCAATCACTTTAATATTGCATTAAGTAAAGTTTAGGGTTACGTGTATAACCTTAGTGGCCTGACGACCTGTTTTTCCAAAGACATGCAACAAGACACTAAATCATATTGCAAAAGCTACATGAATCAATATGTGGGTATCGTAGCTACTTCAACACTATGGGCCGGACTACCCTTTCTTACTAAATTATCCGCTGATGAATTAGACTGGGGCTAAGAGTGCTTGAAGACAAACTGCAATCCCCTGGTGATGTTGAAATCAAATATGGGTTCTGACTGCCAAGGAAACGCAGGGTATTTGAGGCCAATAAATTGGTTGCTTCCTATGAGAGCCTCTTTTAATACTGTTAGTTTAGACATTTGAAAAGACGGGCTCTAGCGTTTTCAAGACGGGCTCTAGCGTTTTCAAGCTCAAGAATGACCTCTTTGAGAAGTTAAATCATGTTAGCAGTCACTAGCCACTTCAGCACTTGTGCAGGAATCCAATATCATCTCAGCTATCTTTTTCAATTTAGATTCCTGTGTCATCAGAAGTCTACAGGTACACATACAAACATATGTGCACATATATTTGTAATATTTGGCCCTTCAATTGAATGTAAACATTAGAAATTGGGCTTAATATATTTTGGGTTTTTATTCTGGCCGCTTCTTAGAGGTATCAGTGTCCTGGCTGCACATTTCTGTTGGACTTTTATGGAAGGTAAATGAATTGTTTCAATTAAAGCCCTCTCTCCTTTAAACTAGTGGGATACATTTTTGTACTTTCATAGAAATCTCTTTTTTTAATTCTTTATTAATATGCTTATATCTTATTGTCTAGTCAAACGCACTTTGTCATTATTTGTGTATATTCCTGCACTGCATATTATTTTTCTGGCTGCATTTCTATTTAATGAGTTCTTCATTGAAAGAACTACTTCAATTTTCCTAGAGTTATTCGGGGAGGGCTTATTTCGTTTGAAATGGCAGGAGCTTTGATGATGGATTCCCAAATCTTTTCATTAATAATGCACATGATATCCGAGGTCGACACGTAGCTTTTCTCGCTTCTTTCAGCTCTCCTGCAGTCATTTTTGAGCAGCTTTCTGTCATCTTTGCTTTGCCAAGACTATTTGTGGCGTCTTTTACATTGGTTTTGCCTTTCTTTCCTACCGGCTCTTTTGAACGCATGGAGGAGGAAGGAGATGTAGCAACTGCATTCACCATGGCAAGGATACTGTCAAATATACCCATATCTAGGGGTGGCCCAACTAGTCTGGTCATCTATGACATCCATGCATTACAGGTTTGTTTTATTTAGGACTTGTACGAAAATATGGTTCATATACCTCTTGAAATTCTATTATTTTATGGTAATATACTATTCCTTTGTCCACATCAATTAGTATATTTTTGTCTGTGATATTCCCCACCATTGACTCATGTTACCAATGTCCTGAACATGAGAATGAATATTGTTAAATTTAGAAAGTGGGAGGCAGGTACTGCATTCTTTCTGGAGAAATATTAATTATCTTGACACTTAGATTACAAGTAATGGATAGTGAGAAAAAAACTAATTGGTTTTTTTTTGTAGAAAGGATTGTTGGAATGAGCTTCTCTCTGATATCCATGTTGGATAGACTTCCTTTTTTTCTAGTTCATACTATGCTGAAAAATTCACTACTGTATCTTTTTTTTTTGGGCGAATGTTTTTCATATCTGGTTTTTCATATCTGTGCCTTTGTGCAAGTTTCGTGGAGCATATCTAGATGAGTAATCTCCGAGACCTGCCAGTCTTGTGTCACGAGCTCCAATTCGAAGGGAAAAGAGGATGCAGGTCGCCATACATGCACTTCATTTCAATCAAGGCTGATAAAGATTCTATGACGGTACAACATTGCCAGATTTTGAAAGTGCTTTGCTTCTTCCTCTTAGAACATTGCTGTTACACTCTAAGTGCCACTTGGGGGCTCGAAGCTTGCTGTCAAAGCTGGTTACTACAGAGAAGGCACAGTTAGTATCATGGTTGCAACCACTGAACTGTGTGACTCCAATTCAAATATATCGAACAGACTGCAATGCCCACCCTCCTTTCTCTTTGTAAATATGGATTCCAAAAAAGATAAATGTGAGCAATTCCCATATTAATTACGTAAAAAATAAACAATCCCCTTCCATTTTAAAGGAAAAATCAATCTTCAGTCATCAAAGCTGTTGACATGAAGAGTAATTCAAGGTCTGTCAGAAGTTAAAAAGTTTCTAAGCTCTTATAGAGGTTTCTCCAATCCTGGATCTAAACAATGAGACTTAATATAAGAGCAGCTCAATTTCTTTTGTGTAAATACTAGATTTACAGGTCCTTGAGATTTGAGACACCTTCTGAGGCCCCTCTAGGATTGAATTTGTGAGAAAGACGATGATAAGAACTTGCTTTCCAAAATAGGCATATCCTTATTCGAATCCATTGATGAAAGCAAGTCCATAACAACCCATGTTGGACTTTCTTGTTTATGTGACAGTCCAGAATAATTTTTTTGAGACTGTGGCGGTAGGTAGGATGGAAAACCCAAAGAACATCAGAAAATAGGATGGATAGCATTAGGCTAGGAAAATTTAATTATAATCTATATTTTGACCTCCAAAAAGAGTTTTGAAATCTTGTTGTGGATGCAAATTTCTGGACATTCACTCCTCAGATCGCCATGTCTTGGTGATCTTGTTGTTCTTTGGATGACCTCATGCTGTGCCATTTATTCTTTTGTGAACAAGGTGAAAATTTCGTAATTATCTTTATCAATAATAAAGAATAAAGAGAAAGTTCCATCTTTACCCTTTTCTTCTTCTTACCTATTCAGAAGATCAGCTAGGGAGGGTAACACTGGTGCAATGGGGCTGGCTTCCAATTTAGGGGATGGAGTTGATCCCAAGAGCTGGACGAGGCATTTAGTTGGGATGACAGTACGAGGACAAGAGGAAATCTGATGTGCCAACTTCCATTCCATCTTCTTAGAGGGGCAAAATGGCTGGCCACAGGCATTTCTTTGGTGTAATGGAAGTTTCCTGTGCAGGGTTAGTGAGACTCTTTTAAAATATAAGTAATCCCCATAGGCCATTCGGTACCTTTCATCAGCTGCCTATGATGGGGTAGGTAACAGAGGTCTAAGAAGTAATATCTGCAGGGGATTGGTGTTTTTTGGCTCCTTTGTGACCATGTCACCCCAGGTGCTTGAGAGAACTGTTCCAGAGTGGGACTGTAGCTATTTCCTTCCTTGAGGAGCTTGCACTACTTCACTATTATATTTTGGCATAATGCTGTGAGTCGTGTTGTAAGAATTGTAGATAGGATGGATTTTTTGTTGTTCATTTATTGGAACCATGACATTGTTTCTGGAGAGAGAACATGATGCTGTGATGTCCTGCAGCCTTAGCTATGAAAACCATAATATGGGAAGGTTTCCATAGACTTCCTCTGCAGCCACATAGATCATCATTGTTGGCAAGGCTTTCTCAGATATATTTCTGCTTATAGGGTGGTAATTGGAGCCTCAAGTCTGTTGGATGAACTCATTTATTTGGTGGCTTGTGTAAACTTTTGGCTGTTGGATGTTAGAGCTCCTAACAACAAATGCTCAGCAGGATATGAGAATATCATCAGGACCAGGATCATGTCAGGGCTTTCTTCTGATGAGTCCAAGTTCTGGTGCCACTTAGCTCAAGCTCCAGGAATGAGCTTTGGCGCTTCTGGGGAGTACAGAGCCTGGTCTTTAGCATGTGTTCTTTTTCAGAGCATTTGAATGGGAAGTACGTCTCCATGACTTGTTACATATGTTCCATTCTGCAGAGTTTTTTTTCTCAGAATTATAAACCAATGAGGTAAAAATGCTCCATTCACTGTTTATTGCTTTAGCCCGAGCATCTGGTATTCTTCTTCTTGGTGGGTGAGGTTTGCATCAGTGCTATGCTCGTTGCTCATAAAAAAGGCTTTCAAGGTGTCTGAAGTTTCCCAGGTTTTCAAATGCAATACTTATGCATAATTCTTCTTGTTCAGATACGATCCTTGTGTGGAAAATGGATATTGTGCATCCTTCCAAAATAGTCTTTTGTAAAATGTGTCCTTTGGTTGGTCAATGAGTACCCCTCTCTTTTAAGAGGGTTTTCCATACTTTACTCGAGCCTGGAGCAGTGGGGTATTCTAGGAGCCTGAGGGCTATTGGTGCTTTGCTGGTCCCTCAAAGTTTTGTGTTCCTTGGTAAATTGTTATGGATGCTCGTATCGAGTGCATAAGGTGGTTTTCAACGGGGTTTGGGCTCCCTTGGTTTGTTGCGTTGCTCTAATTCTTTTCAAGAATATGTTAGATGATCATTGGACATTGGTGGTTTCAGACCACTTTTCGAGCATACCAATGGGTTAGTTTAACCAAATGGTTGGTGAGCTAGCTAATGTTTGGGTGTGGCAGAAGTTGGTTAGTTGGAGCTTTTCCTAAGGGTTTGTAAAAGTCATATCACTAGGCTGTGAAAAAGATATCATATCCAATCATTAATGTATGAGCGGTTTTGGTATATGAAGTTTTGGTCATCTAACCCTGATTCCAGTTTTTTCTTTTTGGATCTTTCAATGACAGTTATTTTCTTACTGGTCATATATTTTGGTTCTTTGCTATTCATGCTACTTATCTGTGTGCAGCTGTGTCCTTTGATGAGTCTCTCTCTCGTGGTAAGGACAACTTGGTCTTGTCTTGATAAACTTGATGTGTTTTGCTCACATTCAGAAGGAGCAGCATTTCCAATTGCTTTGAGTTTCTTTTCCAGCAGTGTTGATCGAGAGGAGATTACTTCATTCAGATGCTCATTATATTGTCAAAATTACACTTTTAATGATCAAGTTCTAATCATGTTGTGGATTTCTTTTTCCTTTATAAATGGCAGACAAATTTGTTGCAATCAAAGTACTTTTCATCGTATAGCTTCTTGCAAGGTATTTTGTTTTGTTTCATTTAATCAAGGGTGCGGTTTCTATAAGGATGCAACCTTAAACAATCCAATTAAGGCGCACATTAAAATTTTATCATAACATGTAATTTTGGTATAAAAAATTCTTAGTATTATCTTAAAATCTATTTTCATACCTAATTAGAAAATTTTAAATTCCAAAAATGGTTAAAAAATATATGAAAATCTTGAAAATGGATGGTCTAGATAATTTGTTGCAAGATGTACTATTTCCGGGACTCAAAAACTTTTTTTTTTTTTTCATATTCATACATCTCAATGTTGAGATGATCGATTAGAGGGTTTTTTCAACATTAAAACAACATTTCCGATAGATTTTTGAGGTGCATCTGTGATTCTACATTTTAAGGTTGCAACCTTATATAAACTTTTCCCTGTAATCAATGCCCTCTTTTTAAAGAAGATGAACTTAACCTAAACACCATGAATCTTCGGCAATTGTAAGGCTTTCAATGTGGAGAAAGATTACTTTACATCCCCACTCACATATATTTTACCTACATCCCTCATCTCCCAGCCGTCTGATCTGAATGGACGGCTAAGATGGCCCCAATCTCAATGTCATGCCTAAACACTTTTTTTTTTTTTAATGTTTTTCTAGAAATGATATTGACATCAAATTTGGGGCTTCCTCTCTTAAGCTCGCACCTATGAAAATATAAAAAAGTATTTCTGATAAAAAAAATGACCAAAATACCCCTAAAACTTTCACTGGTATTTTGGTCATTTTATTTTTACGAAAACATTTCTAATATTTTTCTGAGGTGTGCTTCAGTGAGATGATGACACACACCAAATTTCATATTCATATGATTTGTAAAAAAAAATTGAAATTAAAATAAAACATTAGATCTAGATCAAATAAGTAGTGGCTCAGTCACGACATCATTGCTGAAGCTATCCCAGCCATCCATTTAGATCGAACAGCTGGGAGATGAGGGATGCAAGTAAAATATATATGGGTAGGGATGTGTGGTAAGCTTTCCTTTCACTGTGAGCTTGAAATATTTTGATATGTGTGTATTTGTAAAAGGAAAATGTTTGTCTAAGGTTCGGGCCCTAAGCAATCAAACTAAGGCGCACCTCAAAAATTCACTAGAAGAAGTTGTTTCGATACCAAAAAACCTTCAAATCCGATCATCTCGACCTTGAGATGTATGGACGTTAAAAAAAAAAAGGACTTCCAAGTGTTGAAAATAGTGCATCTTGTAATGTATTATCTAGATCGTCAATTTTCAAGATTTTCAAGTGTTCATAGATTTGCCTAATCTACACTATTTTTGAAACTTTAATTTATAATTAGAGATGAAAATAAAATTTTAAGCCACTATAAAGATTTTTGGTACTGAAACGACATCTTTTGACACTATTGAAGGTATGCCTTACTTCGATTGTTTATGGCCTCAGACTTATGCAAACCACAACCGTTCTGAAATCTTATTCTATGGATGATTAGGTTTCATTGCTTGCACCTAGTTTTTTTGTTTGTCTTGCTAAGTAATTTGCATTTTCACTAGGACGTCAAATTCATTTGTAAAATTATTTGGATAATGTATTATTTTCATTTTTTCTGTGTACTGTACATTCCGTGTTATGAGATATAACGATATCTGCACACTTTGTTCTTGTTACATGGTTGCTTTACCATTTAGAGCATTTTCTTTCACCATCGAAGAGTTAGGATTCATCTATCATTTTTCATATATTGAGGCATTATGTAGCACAAGGGTGATGACATTGTCTTGTAAGAAAATGATATGGGGCTTGTGTGCTGCTTCCATTTGATTTATAAGTTTCTTCTTCTCCTACTGCACTTGATCCTTGTAAAATGTAATGCATTCCAAGCATCGGTGATTTTTGTCACCATCTTTCTTGCCTGGCAAACTTTTTACGACTGATCTTGATTGCTGCACAGGAAAGATTTTACTTTGGTGACCATGTTTTACCTTGCTTTGAAACTGGGATCCCTCTATTAAAGCAGCGCCTTGGAGAGCTTCCCGATGCGGACAATGTGAGTATCTCAAAAGCAGGACCTCTGCATTTCTGAACCGTGTGGCTGCTATGAAAAGCCCTTTATAATCTGTATTTTTCCTATTGTTGAAATCGTTGACTTGATATTGTTTTATGTATCTTAACCTTCTTTTTATGTTTTCTAATATTATTGAATTCCAGATAATCGTGGCATTTCCTGATGATGGAGCATGGAAGCGATTCTACAAGCAGTTGCAACATTTTCCCATGGTTTTTATTTTCAAAACTAGTGGAACAGAGCACATTCCTTTCATGGTCCTTATCTATCTTACAAAATGTCTGACTTCTGTTCAGTAATAGGTTATCTGCACAAAAGTTCGAGATGGTGACAAGAGGATTGTTCGGATAAAGGAAGGGAATCCTGCTGGTCGCCATGTTGTCATTGTTGATGACTTAGTGCAATCTGGGGGCACACTTTTTGAGTGTCAGGTATGAAAGTAAAATGCCTTAGGTTAATTATGTGTTTCTTTAATAGCTCTATTCCACACTTATTTTCCAAAGATGGCCATGAAGATGAATAATGGTTTACTTACTAGAGAACAATTTTAGATACCTCAATATTTTGTGAACAACCTCTAAGTGATGTCTAAGCATTCATAACAGTGGGCCCTATAGCATATGCCAGGTGTAGTCACCAGTCTCTAATCAGCATAAATGAAGTTCTTTCTCTACTGAAAATAGATTATGGTGCAGATCAATAGGAAAATCTAATGGTTCCCTAACTTTCCTGTATTCTGTTGCAGGTTCAACATTTACTTCCCTTGGTAAATGAGGATACCTCTCTTAAAGCACACCCCTCCAATACATGAAATGCACATTAGGCACCTAAAGGCTAATTGTTAAAGAACTTACCCAAAACATGTAATTTCATCTCCTGTGAGGCTGATATCGTCAACCTCTTCTAAGGAACAAATATTCCTTCTTGCCCCCTTGTGTTCTTTCTATGAGGATAAAACAATTAACATGATTGTGTGGTATTAGAAATATGTAACAACAAGTCACAGGCCTCTTAGGTGATCCATTCTTATGGTTCTTTATTATCCACATATGGCCATTTCTTCCAAGGTGCTCATTCTGTTTGGGCCTTAAGTTTAACGATTCTATTCGGCAGATGTGGTTACTGGCAAGAACTTATTAAATCCATTGTTTGGGCTCTTAACAAATTAAAAGTTGCTCCTGCTACTAATCCTAGAGCCTTCAGCATTGTCCAAGGACGTGCTTTAGTAGCAACTCATTGATAGAAAGGGTTTGGCATATAGGAAAAAGTACCATTGCGGTAATATTTCTGAAGGAGTTTCAAATGGACTGGTAGTTTACCAATCATTGAAGGTTCTAGAACAGCTGCACCCATGTTACATGCAATAGTACCTAAAATTGCTGTTGGAAAGGTATATAAAAAATCATTAGGCCATGCCAGTTCTCCATAATAATTATGTCCAGTCTTGGGAGCTGTTTAAACTTTAAATCCATGAGTTGTCTCTTTAGCCTGCAAACGTTGCCTCTCTTCCCCTGTCCTAAAACATGAGGTGGAGCAAACTTGTAATCCTCTTGTACATGACAATGTAAGAACGGCATATCAATATGTAATTAATGCAAAGGCCAATTCTTATCCATTCACTGGAAGTCAGCGGAATTCCTCCCTATGGGTTCGATTCAACTGTTGGTGGATGTTCTCAATCCTTCTTCTCTTTGGCTTGAAGTGGAAGGCAGTTTCTTCAGGGCTCTAGTAACATGGCAATCCGCCTCACCTCGCCCCCCCCCCCCCCATGTACAAGCGCAGGTCCATAGTCCCCAACCTCATCCGGACCAGGATGAGAGGACCACTGTAGTCCTGAAACGAACAACCACGGCCCACGTCCCCACTGAAGCCGTCCATCTCTCCATCGGAGGCCAACCATCTTGATCGCTATCCCAATCAGCCTGCCACTTCTCTCAATCCAGTTGTCCCACCTTTTTCCCCACCTAACACTTGTACCGTCTTCCTTCTCCCTGCATGTGAGACGTCAACCACCTTTTTCAACCCATCACGCAATGTCAACACATCTCCTATCCTTTATGACCCCAGCTGCCTTCTCTCCACGCGGCTGACCATATTTTTGTCTCTCTTCTATCTCCCATCCCTCTCCTAGCCTTTCTTCCAATGTGATCCCTTCCTCATCCTCTGGCCACATTACTTCACCTCCCCTACCTCTTCAGCTGGGAAGTCCTCCCTGGCCCTCGCTCCCACACTATCTGTTTCCAATTCGCAGCCCACTTCATCTAACAGTCACCTTCTCGCCATTGACCGTTTCCCGTTGTCCTAGTCCAGTCCCCCATAGGTCCATCTCCCTTTGGTTTCTCCTCTTCCCCCATCCCTTTCTTCATCCCCTCCTATCTTCTCGTCTAACCCTCCCCCTTCTTCCCGTTCCAACTCTCTTGGCCTATTTTCTTCAGCCCCCCTCGCCCCTCAAGACTCTGACCATCCCACTCCTCAAACCCACCTGCTAGACGTTCTCATCATTGCCTCGGCCCTGAACCCCATTGTAGCCAACCACCAGTTGCCCCCTACCATGTCGACAAACCCCTTCGAAGACCGCGAAACCTTGAAGACTTCTTTGGTACTCCTTTCGACACCCCTCGTCATGATCCCGTATTGTTGTCCGGTCGTTCGGGTCCCTCATTTCCGGCTTGTCATCCCCCCCCCTCCCCCTTCCTCTATCCCTCCCCCATCAGCCCAGCCCCCATCTTCTCGTGCCTGCCCTCTCAACCCTTCATCGCCTCCCTCTTTTCCTCCCCCACCCCCTATTTCTCTACTGGGGCCCCCTCTACCTCGTCCACTGCGACTGTTCCCCCCTTAATGCCTCTCCCCTTCTTGCTTGGACCTAGTTTCTAGTACCCTCCTCAGTCTGCTCCCCCCTCCCGCCCCTCTACATACCTCCCTCAGCCTCTCGTTCAATCCATTCGCCGTTATCCAGTGAATCCTCGCTTTCTCCGAACTCGGTGGATTCAGCTTTTGTCGATGCTTTGGATCAAGCACAAGGGAACGTATCCTAGGTCCTCAGAGTCATGGGTCTCCAATTCAATGGCCCTCAAGTGGCCCTCCAAGTCTTTCTGAAATCGGAAGTTAGCTCTATCCCAAAGACTAAAAAGGAAGAGAATCTAGAGAGATCTCGAATCTTGCATGGGGCATTAATTATGACCATCCATTCCTTCCTCCCCCATCTTAAAGTGAACTGGGACCCCAAGCCCCGGCGGAGGCCTCCTTCGACCTTCCCCTGGGCGTGATAGCTCCGTCCCTGTTTTCCCATGCTAATTATTTGTTGGAACGTCTAGATCCTCAGGCTCCCAGCTAAGCGCTATGCGATGCACGATATCATTGGCCGTTATTCCCCTCGATCGTAGCTTTGAATGAAACCAAACAACCTCCCCCCTCTCTAAGCCTTCGACTAATTTGGGGAAGAAGACCATGTCAATGGGTGGCTAGAGCAGTAGCGGGGGCCTCTGGTGGAATTTGGATTATTTGGGATCCTACGCTTTCTCTCTCTCCTCCTCTATCGAAGTTGCCTTTTCAGTGACGGTTATTTTATCAAGAGTCTCAGATGGCCTGGCTTTCAAGTTTTCAACTATCGATGCCCCAAAACCAGGCAGTCTTAGGGATTCCTTTTGGACTGAACTAAACGCTATTGCCTCTCTCCCTTCGCCCTCATGGTGTCTTGGAGGAGACTTCAATATTACAAGATGGCCTTTTGGAAGAGATTATCTTTCCATAGTAACCACAACCATATCTCAATTTTAAGACTTCATCTCTCGCCACAACTTGATCGATATTCTGCTTGAAGGGGCTCGTTACACCGGATCCAACCACTCTTCTTCCCCAACCCTCTCCAAAATTGACCGGTTTCTCTTCAGCTCCGATTGGGATGCCACTTTCCCTGGCTCCCATGCCTTTGCCTTATCTAAGACCACCTCAGACCATTGCCCTATATTTGTCGACACCAATCCCATAGTGCATGGCCCAAAACCCCTTTCGGTTTGAGCTGTTATGGCTCGAAGAACCAACCTTTCCTCATCTTGTCCCTCTTTGGTGGAACTCTTTTACTTCCCAAGTCTTGGGGAGAGCCGGTTTTAAGCTCCAAAGAAAAATCCAGTTGCTCAAAAATGTGATTACCGAATGCAAGAAGCAACAACTTGGCAATTTCCATTCTCGAAAAAGTGATATTTTACAAGGCATCCATGGATGGGACTCACTCGAAGAGCTTGGTCCACTTACTGATTTGGAGTGACAAACCAGGGCACAACTCAAGATCGACTAACAAAGTATCCTGAAGCAAGAGGAGATTTCCTGGTATCAACGATCTTGAGTTAAGCGGCTTGAGTTCGGGGATCTTAATATCTCCTTGTTTCATAGAATATCCAACTGTAGGAGGAGAGGCAACTCAATATCTCGCATCAAAATCGAAGATAGCTACTTAGAAGAACCTTCTGACGTGGATGGGCTTGATGCAAAAGGAGCTCGAAAATTAAATCTAGCCTTCTTTTGATCTTAAACACCAACAAAATTAGCAACAATGGAGAAATTTAAGTGGCTGTAAATCAAACCCAAAGGGAGAAGAAACTCCTTTGATAAGAATAAACTCTATACTAAAAAGAATACCAAGTCTTCTAAGTTTAAGATCCACAAGTTAACGTTCTTTGAATCGAACAACTCTTTCCAATCAAAGAAGTGCTCAACCAGTCCAAAAATTCTTCTGGGGAAAGATTTCCATAAAATTCAGGGAGATCAGTTTTAATACCTGAATTTGACTCCCTATGATCGTATCTTCGTGCATCTCGATGATGATCACACGAGTCCGCCTATCCCTGCCCCTATGCCGATCATATCAGCCTCGTGTTGGTCGGTTGCCCGACTCTTTATCGTATTTGCGCTCTTGTCAACGCCGTCGCGCATCGAATAAATTTGGATGATCGGACACATAATCAAGATGCTCCATCTTAGAGTCAAGCCCCGCCTCGTGCCCATCTCCATCAAGACCCTCACCATTCGGATCCATCAACATGGGAACCTCTTCATTTGAGGCACCTTGCTGCTGATCTCTCTCTTGCAGCAACTGTGCAATTATCTTTGTTAAGTTGTCGATCTTTTGGTATTAAGGCGGTATACCCACAGCCATGACCAGCCATCATAGTCACCAACCGTTGCTCTGATACTAATAGATGCAAAAGGAACCCGAAAATTGAATCCGGCCTTCTTTTTATCTTTAAGGAAGAAATTTCATCAACTATGGATAATGTATTGTGGCTGTAAATCCAGCCCAAAGGGAGAAGAAACTCCTTCTTTGGTAAAAATTAAGTCTCAACAAAATTACCAAGTCTAAGTCTCTAAAGGGCGTCCCCCCCTTTTCAATACAAAAAAAAAGAAAGAAAAAGAAACTAAGAAAAAAATAACTTTC